ATAGTGTTTAGACAAGATATTATGTGTGCATCTTTTACTATAAATAATTACTACCAAAACAACAATATGCAACGTATTAATTGTAACTGTGCTGCTAACTTATTTTGAAACTGTCTCTACTCTTTCTCAAAATTAGTTATAAATTAAATGATTTATTTATTTATTTATTTGTTTATTGATTGATTGATTGATTTGTTACAGTGTCTTTCTAAGCAGCTTGGACTTGTAATAATCCTGTCTCAACCTGCCCTGCACTTGGATTACACACGTGTGCCACCATATCTGTTTTAAGTGGCCACAACAGCACAGGGCCTGCATGCCATGCAGTACCAGTGATGAAACACAGGTCTCCTTGCACTTGCCAGGCAAGCACATAGACCATCAAGCTATCTCCTCAGCCCCAAGAATACTATTTATTAGAAAGATAATACATATTTCATAATAAATTTTTAAAGTATCTTTGAAAACACCCATTAACATTTTTTACTTAATGGGTATATTTATAAATTTTCATAGATAAGTTTTAGATGTACACAATAACTATATTCATCATTTTGTATTTGAACCTATACATAATTATCTTGATTATCCTTTTTCCCAAAAACCATCCACTCTCCTTAAAACCCTCTTCCCATCATCATTTACAAAAGCCTTGTTTCCATTTTTTATGTATGGCATCTTTTTCTTTTCCCATCCTTCCTTTCTCAATCCTCACTCCGTACCCTTTTTCCACGGAACATTTTCTTCCCATTTCGTAATACCTAGTACACATTTTGGTCCACATTTGCTCTTTCCGCTTCTCACATCACAGAAACTGTACAGTATGTAAACTGTGTGAGATTTACTCTACAAAGGTATACTCTAGGAGTAGATATTTGCCTAATAGTCTCAAGTTTATCTTTTATTAGGGTATGTGGTATTTAAGAAAAACACATCTTCTTTATCCATTCTATTGTTGAAGTCTTTTACACTTTTTGAGAAATTCAGCTATTCCAAATTATGGTGACATTAACGTGAGTGTGTATGTCACTGTAGTATGATGTTTTTAATTCTTTTGAGAAGATACTAAGAGGGAGAATAACCAGGTCAAATGGAAAATTCAGCTTTACCTTTCTGAGGAATCTGCACACTGATTTCCACAGTGGTTGCACCAGGTAACACTCTTAAGAACAGTGGATAATTGTTCATTTTTCTCCAATGCCTTGTCAGCATTCATTATTAGTTCATAACTTGACAATAGTCATTTATTTCTGGGATAAGATTTGCATCTCTCAAGTAGATAGTGAAGTTAAATATTTTTCAAATACTTATTTGCTATTTATAATTTTTACTCTATGAAGGATCTATTCATCTTAGGTGCATGTTTTTGTGTTGGAACTTTACCTTTGGGTGGATCTGATTTTTTTGACTTTTTCATATAGTCTAGATATTAGTGTTTTGTCTAAGAATATCTAGAAAAAACTTTCCCACACTATTCATTGTCTCTTCACTCTTTTTGTGGTTTTATTGTTGTGCAAACACTTTTTTATAAGATGAAATATGATATATTGAATCTTTGTAATATTTATTGCGTAATTTGCATTTGGTCATAAAGTCTACCAACACCTATGTCTTCAACAGTTCTGGCTATTCTTTCCTTCAATATATCTTAAGTTTCTGTTTTAATTTCCAGTTATTTGATCCATTTCTAGTTTCACTTACTGCATAATGAGAAATATGGGGGTAGGTCTAAATCCTTGGTATGTATAAATCTAATTTTCAAACCACCTATATGTGCTTGCTTCCTTTTTAAAAGATAAGGTGGCTGAGATACACCTCAAATATTGCTGTACATATGTCACCCACACAATTTTGCATGTTTCCTATATGTGAAAGTGATACTATTCATAGCAAGGCAAAATCGTCCATATTATTATGCTTGTGCTAGTTTGAATTGAACATGTAATAAACCCATCTGTATTGAATAGCTAATGAAGTATCACTTACTAGATTCAGGATCAGAATTTCCATCCCCTTCAGTGCGGTTGTTGGGTGCAATAGGATCAAAGTATATCTCCTGAGAATACGCTAGGGATAGAGTATGAGATATGCAGCTTGCATTATGGTCTCCCATTCCACCATCACTGCTGCTTTCCTGAGAGCCTTCTGGCAGGTGAAATGTGACACGTCTCTGGAATTGAAAAGAAAAAAGAAATTACATGGTATGCACAATGACTTGAAGAATTCCATAATGAAGTTAATTTAGTAAATACAATATGAGAGCTATCTTGTAAAGCTACATTAAGTTTATCCTGAGTTGTGAACAATTTCAGTCTTCTTTGAAGAAGTATATCAGTTTTCAAAACTGCTTCAACCTCAGACCAAATTGCTCCAGCATATTTCTAAACAGGGCTCATGCAGATAGCGAAACAAAATAAACTTGTCTAAATCAAAATACTATCTCTCTTTCTAGGCATTTGAGCACTTTCAAATAAGGATGTCACTTGTGCATGGATTTATACAGCTATTATTTGACAATGATTGAGTTTTTCAAAATTAAGCCTGGTCTATTTCCAGCCTCACAGTGAGAAATCAGCATCAACGTCAGAGTAAATGAAGGCACAGGACCACTGAGGCTACTACCCAAACTTAAAATGCTACTGCTTTTCTGGGACAGTTCATCATTGATCTGGATGCTGTCTCCACACATTGTCTGTCAGTGACAACAGAGACAATCTTTGAAATAGATTTCTCTCTCTCTCTCTCTCTCTCTCTCTCTCTCTCTCTCTCTCTCTCTCTCTCTGCTTGATTTCATTTTGCTATGAATATAAAAGTACTTTTTAGTTTTGTAGTTGTTTTTGGTTTGTTATTTCTTCCTTCTCTCTTTCTCTCATCTTTTGCAATATTTTTCCAAAATTTGTATGATCCTCCATTGTCATCTAGCATTATTTCTAATCTCATCCTCTTCTATTTTTGTTTTTTCTTCACCAATTCTAACAGTTCTTTCCTTAAGCTAAAATTAGTGCATTGGGAGTGTGCGGAGAGCTTCCTGCTACCCTGCGCTGGCGGGACCAGTCCCATCCCAGGCGCAGAGTGGGCCAGACCCTCTCCCAGCCACTTGGGCCGCGCCCCACCACACCGCAGTGCCTCCCCCACCCCACCCACCGAGTAGAATTTTCTGCCGAGTTCCAGGAGCCCCCAGACCCAGTCCTAGCCCAGGTCC